GTTTGGGTCCAGCCTAGGGTCTAGTTCTTCTGGTTCGGTTTATTTGATGGACCCTCTTGAACGTCGTTTGAACTTTCTGTCCGTCTGTGTGGATGAGCTAGTGCTAAGATTGTCGTTCAACCACTCTAACACACTAAAATCCCTCGGGCGATACCCAACAGAGATTTAGCTTGACTCAGCTGATTGGTTCTCCGCCTGCCTTAAATCTCGACCAACCTTGAAACCTAGTCACTTGACATGCCGAAGCTTTTAAGTCAAAAACAAAACGTTGTCCAACAATGAATCTACCGATTGGCACCAAACGTTTTCGAAAACGATGACTACCAAATCGGTTCCAAGTATTTTTCATGTGGGAGTACCATTACGTTTTCTCTGCCATCCTGGCGACGACCGGAATAAGCGGCAGACATTACCATCCTAAAGCGTGCCCGGTTAGCCATACTGCCCTCATTATGACCTGATTTACGCTGACTGATGCTTGTTTAGGTGAATGCCTCGTTAACATTTAGGCGAATGACTGCATTGTTTCCGTCGACCCTGTCGATGTGACTTGATTTCGTAAAGGAAGCTACTCACAAGATTGCAGAAAACTCTTCGAAAACGCACGACCGGTTTCGCCCTTCCAGTTCGGGCTCATCAGGTAGGCGCAGTCCCCGAGTTTCCGTCAACCTCATGTTCTACCTGAACCCAAATTGGAATGTTTTTGACATCTCGAATGTCGTGCCAACTGAAACATGAGGCGACCCGCGTGCAGCTCATTCAGTTGTAGAACATTATAAACGAGAGATTCAGTTGAGTCTCTCGTGAAAACTAAATCGATTTGCAAATGACTTAATTTCAGTTTATCAGTTAAATTAGATGGTGAGGCTGGATGTTTATTAGCTATGTCAGCCGGTAAAAAAAGAACCTGAAAGTTTTATGAAGCGTCTTTTCTATTTGGTGCTGACAAAAGACACCTTATTGTCACTGGTCTACCAACTGGTTACTTTCCGACAGTCCCCGCCGTCAAACAAGACTTATATTGTCCATCCTTAAAGGATCTGTGCTCCGACCTGTTGCTTCAACCAAAGCGCTTATTACAGCAACGATTTAAAAGTAAATGTGGTCTAGAAGAAACGTACTTATTCGTCCATAGAAAGCACTTGAGAAGTTTCGCAGCGTACCATACGAACGATTGCATAGTTGATGATGCCTTGGTTCAGCGCACTCACTGAATTCGGTATGCGTTACATCATACTCAGTATTTCGCCGATCTTTCACCATTCGGTCACAAATCTGTTTTTTACATACACTGCACATCAAGCTCTGGGATGATACGTTGTAACTTACTGGTTAATTGCGCGCTTATCCAACGGTATTTGTCAACATGCGTCGGTTGGAATTGCATGCCGCTATTCTCTCCGTGAGTTTCATGTGCTACATTCTGAGGGAACACGCACTTGTGGACTGATTCTTTGCCTGTACTTAGCAGAGAAAGTCACAGCAGATCCGAATTCCAGGCCCCTGTGGTCTATAGACTGAGTTTGATTCACGAGGGTTCCGAGGAATCTCATGGAAGTCATGTGCGAACACGAGATATCCCAGCGGTTTGAGGATCACCGAGCACCCCTGTCCGATTTCACATACACTGGGTGTCGTAATTCAGCGTTTTCACGAACTCCAGGATACGTGTAACCGAAGTCAAATAGCTAGTACCTTGTCAATGTTAGAAACAGTTGCTCGTTTGAAGGAACGAATTAACGTCATAAATAGCACCCTTAGTGCTTCTGGTCTCATGCTAAACTTTATCGGGCGTGCTGAAGAGAGCGAAATCTTCGATGAAAGGTTAGAGATTGGACTGATAGGAAAATAGATCTTGTTCTTTTCACCTGGTGTCCGGCTACTCGGCAAATTGAAGTCAGCTGAATATCCAACATCGCGTTGCGGATAAGGGCACAGTCTCCGGCAGACGTCCGATTAGCATAAGAATGTGTAGCGGGTAAGCACATTGCTTCAATTTCCTCGAGGCAAGTAATATTTGCCGGAGGCATGTGATACACACATGCCCGGGACAAATAATAGCTGAGCTTGGTAGCTTAATTTCAGACGGTTACTCACCAATGGAGGGGATGTTATGGTGCGTCGTGAAGGCGTACGACGTAAGGTTGCGTCATCTCTACTTTGAATGCTTCTAAACACGCTAGTGCAGTTGAATGAATTATTTTGACTGGGGATTTGGTTTACCGCGTAATCGCCTCGCCAACGTGTAAAAAGTATGTTTGACCACTCCTATAGAACGAGCCCTTGACAATTCCTGCTCAGAGCACAGTAATTTCAAATACATCTCTGTTGAATGTTCTGACGCCTTCCAGTTAAATGTCGCATTCGTATCATCTTCATTCTTGGACGCCTGTCTAAACTCCTATTCCGTTTGAGAGGTTACTTTTATTGCAGGTCTATTTGAACTATGTATGCTTTGCCCTCCGAAACAGTTTGAGATCCCGTGAGTTGAACAACCTGCGGTATAAAAATTTCATATCTAGTACACTATTCGTGTCAACCGAACTTCGCGTTGTATAAAATCTACAGATAAATGACAACATTGTGTTTCTTTGAAATGAGGAAAATTTTAAACAGCACAATAAAGTTTTCGGGGATCTCGTCATTCGGTCAGTATATATCTAATGGCTGAAATAGGAGCGAAAAATGAAATACGCAGCGAAGATTGGTTAGTGAAATGCAAAACGTGGGGACATGAAAGATCGGTTATCTGCGCCCCTCGTGTTGCATCTAGTTAGAGGCGGTGAAACCGTCTAGAAGGCGACGTCAAGCGCCTCTTTTCGACCCTACCCGCTAGCACGTCTCTTCAGAGGATACTACTGCTTTGCTGACAGTGAAGTGGGTAGTCACAACTAGGTTTTGTGAAGAAAGGCAAATCGATGGAAGGCATTTTAAGGCTCGTGGATACTATGCTATTTTCTCGCTTGTATTGGCAGTTCATCTTTCCTTAGTTTATGCGCCTCAACCATCCAATGCGTTCGTTTTTTCTTGGCTTGTGCACAAATACAGTTTGAACGCGCGTGCTTCCTGACTTGTGCACAACTAACCATTCAGAATGCTGGCTCGCATACCCTTTGAGTGATTTGGCCGGTTGATTCGCGTCACATGACCAAGGCAGACTCAGCGTTCGTATGAAACATTTTTGACAACACGGTACCGGGTTCCACACAGCGCATAGGCGTACAGCCAAGGCAGTCGTTGTTCTTGTACAAACCATGGGGATATTTAAGAAAATTCCAAAACTGATGAATTGAGAATAGGTGTGTCTGCCAGGTTGCCATTAGCTGTTACCGTAAACATTGTGTTTAATCAAAAAGCCGGTATTTTGAAACGTTTTTCTATTGACCGTTTAATCTCCAATTACACCGCACATTTTCGAGAAGTGAAATTCGCATCGTTGCGCATACTTCTAGCCGAATTGTATCTGATTTCGGTAGGCTGTAATGCGAGACGAATTAAATATCAGTCACGTTTCCATTTCAAGCGTTGGAATGATTCGGACATTGAATCACAGACAAACATACCGTCACCGAAGCATTGGTTACAGAAATCGATTTTACAAAGGAAGTGGTGTTTACACTTCTTCTTTTTTCTCTTCTTATATAGACAGTTTCGTTTCACCACGCGCCCATTATCTATAAGCTTCAAATGGAATAATACGGAGAGATGTATTACAGAATTAGGAATTTTAGTTCGGGCAACCATAGCTAGATACCTACCTCGCAGTATCTGCAGTCAGTTTCCAGCGTGGTCCAACCTTCGCCCTCCACGTCCTGAAGACAAGCGATTGCTGTTTAAGAAAGATATGAGAAAGTCTTCTTATGAAATGCGTTTGTTACCTTCAGATGTGGGGGCGGAAAGCAGCAAAGACAAAAGCAGTAACATCTTCCAGACAGGCGAATGACATACTAACACATTTCTCATGTGTATTTATACGACCCATTATTGACAACCATTATTGACATTAGTTTCCTTTGCAATTTTTCTTCAAAAGTGCCATTGAAATAGCTTTTTTTGTGTTTATAATCCATAACTCATTGAATTTTCTAGAGGCTAACAAAACGCTTGTGTAAACGGTTTTGGATAGTGTCTAGCGATGATTGTATGCAATAGTACTAAGAATGGAAAAACGGGTGTTATTGCCATGCCATCTTGCGCAACAGCCAGCCATGAAAAGACGTACTAACCGTCGTAATGCCCTGCTCATTAGGTTGCTGAAAATTTGCCGACAGCCCACGACCGGTTTTCTCCTTCTTGGGGCTCATCAGGTTTCCGTCAACCTTATGTTCTACTTGAAACTAAATTGCACGATATTATCGAAATTCACCCATTTGCAAACAACTTTTGTTTTTCGAGAGACTCACCTAGAACCCAGCTGAATCTCCCGTTTATGATCGATTCAGCTGGGTTCCTGGCGAGTCTCTCACAAAACCAAGTATGTTTGCTAATGAGTGTATTTCCCTAAACTAACCATCCTTCCAAGTGTCCCCCCTTCCAGAATAAGTGTTCTGTAACTGGGGCCACTTGGAAACGGTCACGTGATACCTGACATAATATAGGATATTAAAATGTTTTTTAGAAACAGAGATTATTTTATTCTCAACAAAGACTGTCCTGAGTGGTCGCAAGGCAGAAATTTTTCATGAGAATAATCGGTGATGAGGCACTGATTAAGAGCCGCCAATCGTATTTTGGCAATGCATGCGTACCTACTTGCTTGATTTAAATGCAAGCGGACGGATGTATGACTTGTACTCAGTGTAGATTGTTCACTTAGGGCAAACGCTTGGCATTCCAGTTGCTCAACAGCGAACAGTGTCTTGTAGAGTTGTCCGCTAAAACTGACGATGGACTGATCCAGTCTAATTTCACGACTTTATGCAAATCGCCTAGAAAGTTTGGACAGAAGAACAGTGCACACTTGTTCTTCATGTGACCACACGATCAACCGAAACAGTCACTTGTTTTTATGCATTTCGTCCGGAAGGTCAGCTTCTTGAAAGCCCGGAATCTACTGTGGCTCTCAGCTCCGCTAGATGTTGACCAGACAGACAACGCCCCCTCAATATGCAGGGCCTCACAACCTTGTGTCAAACCCAGACAGCGAGAGCTCAGGCAACGCCCCCCTCAATACGCAGAGCGTCACAGCTTCATGCCAAAGCCAGACCGTGTGCGTCGGCGTTGGACTGAGTTCAGACAGTGTCCTTCCACTAAATAGCTTGAGACCATTGTATTTTCGCACTCACATGCACTCACGCTCTCGTATTCGCTTGTTCGAACATAGCGGTTGTGTTCCTTTCTGTGAGTCTTTTTTCAGCAACTAGGCGCTGGAGCGGATCAGCAGTCGGATACAACGGATTGGCGAATCAGCAGATATAAGTCTCCCATCAATATCAAGTTATTTTGCCAAATTAGTCATGTTCGTTAAAAATACTTCCCGAATGAGATACCCAGCCAATCCAGGAAGCCAGTATTCAAATGCCGGTTTCGCGTCTATGAAGGGCAAATCTGGCCGCGGGCTGTCGAAGAGGTTTCAGGGACCTTATGTGTAGTGTGTTACGTCTGTCCAGTAAACTTGGTGCAGTCAAAATTGTAATTTTTATGAATCACCTGATCACCCTTCAACCGTTCAGAATTCAACCGCCAAGACACAGTGGAAACAACGGAAGCGGGTGCAGTCAGGTCACGTTGAATTCCACTCTAGCGCCAAAAGGGGTTTGAGTGAATCGACTTTTGTGGACTGGTAAGCCCCATCCATGACTGACTTTCAAACTTAGATGAGTGTCAGTATTCTTTATTCTCATAGAATAACTTGGCAATCCTTGGTCCTACAAAAACAAACGCTTCTGTCTGATCAAAAAAATTCATTACAAATGTTTTGAATAGTGCCATTTCCTTCCTGATTAATGTAGCTAGTCAAAACAAGAACATTAAAGTGATCAGTGCAAAGTCAAACGCGATGAAACTAAGACCTGTGTTCTAACGGGTTTCCATAGGAGGCTATTCTGATTTGAAACTAGGGTACACTCAGGGCGGTGAGGTGTTGACGAAAATACCTATTTTTCGTTAAAAATGAGTGGCTTTTTTGTTGACAATACATAAAATCTGTAAGGTCCAACAGATAAACTTCATAGGCTTGTTATTTATTCAACCTGGAGTTCATGCTTGCCTCAGGTGTGTTCGTCTGATTTCGATCTTCAAGTAAGCTGGGCCGGCTGGTAAGCGAGATAAATCAGGAAGGCTGACAAGAAGAGTTTGGAAGGCTATAAATGGCTGTTTTCGCGAAAGAATTATTCAACGGATTCCCTATATGCTGGAAGCAAAACGGAAGTGGACAACTAGTAACAACAGAGTAAAAAGCACACTAACTTTGCTCACCTGTTCAGTGTACAGCGCTAACAGCTAATTGTGCGTCTGTGCAGGTGGTAATAACTTTGGTATTGAACGGTTGTCTCGTGGTCCTTGCGTGATTCAGTTATTTTCTTCACAACCAATTGACAAGAACGTCAATAACAAGTGCCTACTATTGAAAGGAAGAAGGCTTTCGCTGTGGAATTGCTTAGTGAAAACACTGAACTGAACAGTTACAGACTATTGGACAGGGAAGTAAAACTCTCATATGCATCTTGTCTACAAAACTAAATATCCATCTTATTTTTGAACGCGTCTTCCTAAACTTTCCTGGATATTCGTTGACTACTACTCAAATGCAAGCAAATACTACAAAGCGACTCCACAAATTCCGTAATAAATCTCACTTTTCAAGTGACGCGGAACGGATTTACTAGAAAACATACTACTCGCATGCCCCATCAGTAGTACCTACCGTTACAGTAACTGCTCACCTGCTCACAGTGTACAGTGCTAACAGCGAATTGTGCTTCTGTGGAGGTGGTAATTACTTTAGGATTGAGTGGCTGTCTCTTGCTTCTTGCGTGCTTTGGTTATTTACCTAACAATCAGTTGATAAGGACGTCAATGACAGGCGGCTACCACGACGCCTTTTTCTATACCAAAGCCCATGATTCCATTGGTACAGAAAACGGGCAAAATCAAACGACGATTGAAACTTTTATATGGGGAAGCGTTACTCGATCAGCTAGTCAACAAGTGACCAAGTGATTGAATGGCAAGTGGCACTATATCCTCTCAAAGTGCGAGTTAATCACGCTTCTGATCAGCCGCTTATGGTCGAATGGTTAAGTGTTCAAACCACCAGGTGGCGGTTTCGCAAAACTCTAATTTCGTAATGTGCGTACTCCCGATGATTTCTAACAAGGATGAAGCAGCTGTACATTGTTCCATTAGAGGACGAAACCTTCATTGAAAATTCCCAACTATGCTCAAAATGCCATCAACATTCTCGAATGAGCAGCCTGCTCTGGCAGGAAGAGGTATTTCCACCAGGATTCTAGTGTACTTTAACCATGCCGCTCTACATAATAAAAGGGAATAAGACATCACCTGACAATTACAGAGGCATTAGCTCACTGAGCTGTGCCGGGAAGCTCCTGGCACGAATGCTGCTCATCTACCTGACAGCTGAAGTGATCGAAATTTGTTGTACGTCGTTTCTGTACCAACTGGAAATTTACTTCATCCCAGGTTGTATAATTCTGAAGTCTTTTTAAAGTTAAACCGCCTTAAAATAGTCATTTGACCCTAAGTCCCAATCTTGTTTGCACATGACTTAGTCCTCCCGTCTGCTAATCCGGAATCGCTCTCGAATTTTCTATGATTGGTTGACGCTCCTGAAGTTCTAAACTTACTGAATCTGTGACCGAATGTCTTGTTTGACTACCAAGTTTCTGGAAAATACTGCGAAGCCGAGACAGTTTCGTTTGTGACCAAAAAAAAACAACTTTCCACGTTGGCCTAATAAGCAGGATGTGATTGCGCTGACTGTTGTCGAAGCACTGAGGCGTCGTGTGCTAATTCGTTCAAGTTCAAATGACCTGAGCCGTCCAGGTGCTGTGGGATACTATGCCTTTTACAAACGATGTGCGAAAATGGCTTAGTCTTCTCCATACGCGCTTATGCGAACACTACGCAGCGTGAATTTCTTGACGAGGTCGAGCTTATCGGTCTTGCGATATTGATGACCAGAATCATGATGGGCGGTCACCTACCTCTCTCTGCTCGAGTCTTCAAAGTAGGTCTGCATTCCACGTATGAGCATACATATATGTATATGGTCGAACAGTGGAGTGAATACCTTTCAAACAGATGTATTTCTCTTTGGTTTGAATAAATATCTCGTCCGAAGCACCTCTTTAAAAAGACCATGACACTTCGTGAGATAAGTTAAATGTGAATTCTTTTCTTCTATTCTTGTTACATACGACGTTTTTCTGTTTCCGTTTTGCGCTATATCGTCCTTCTTGTTTTGACCTGAACGTAAACCGCCCCTTGGCTTTGTCAGCGCACGTTGTGTTGAAATCAACTACGTGGTTTTCAACTTCTTGTGGGCATGTTGTTTCAAGTCGTGGTGAACTTTGTCTAGGCCTAAATGTTCCCCCCTACCTAGTTGTATATCATCCCGTTTGAAATGAGCAATTTCTAAGCCGGTATGATCCCAAAACTTAAGATTTGTACAATCTCATTACTTTATTATTGTTAATATTATTATTGTTATTAGGATTGTATTCATAGTACAGGGTTAGTTGATAGACCTCGTTTGAGTAATTAGACTTTTTGGGTTTTGCGCGTAACTCAGCGTGGCCCAACCGATTGGTAAAAACAGTCAATACTGAGATTTTTAGTGCAAAGTTCAACCCACGCCAGACGTTTTGTCAGAAATCTCACTCTAACTCTCAAAATATCAGCAGAGCACTGTATGGCGCGGCCTCGTGGCTTACCCATGTAACGGTCGCACTACTGATGGGGGAGGCATGGGAGTAGTATGTTTTCTTCTTGTAAATTCGCTTTCCGTCTCTTGAAAAGGGATATCTATTACGGACTTTGTGGAGTCGCCTTGTGGCATTTGCTTGGATTTGAGCAACAGTCAATGAATATCCAGGAAAGTTCAGGAAGGCGCGTTCAGGAGAAGATGGATGTTCAGTTTTTGTAAATAAGATACAAATGAGGTTCGCTTCCCTGTTCAAAAGTCTGTAACCGGTCAGTTGGCATTTTCTAATAAGTAACTTCGCAGAGAAGGCCTTCTTCCTTTCACCTATTGTTGTCGTCACAGCCAACCTCACAGTGACTGAAGTCAATCCAGACGTATACGGATCCGGATACTCTTGAAAACCGTTAATTAACAGCCGTAAGTGATGTACGAACTTGGTCCCCCAGTCGCGTCAGTTCTGTTTACAAAAGAAAACAGGCGCGTATGCACAACGGTTCTTGGTTGAAGTAGCAGACCAGGTATAGATAGCTTCTATCCTCGGTAAATCTGAAGAACCATCCAGAGTACTTTTATTGCTTACCGTGAGTTCACCCTACGTAGCCCAACAGGACAAGCGACACATTGAAATGAACAGATCGGCGGAGGCACATACTTGGATCCAGCTTCAATCATTTCCGTCATCTTCAGGGCTGCACCGTCCCATCTGTGGAATCAACGACCAAGGAACTGTACAGTCAGAGCAGCAAATTTCTCGACGAAGGTAGAATTTCGGTTGGCTTGAACCAGAAACTCGTCTACAGACAGTTTTCTTTGGACCGAGGTACTTGGATCGTATCATTACTTCCGGACGATGATGAGGATGACTAATCCATCTTCAGAAAACGCCTAGCCGTCGGTCCCATCAAAAGCAGCGAACAAAGTGCACTCGGCAGTTCCAATCTATTGTATCTCCACGGTGGGACACGCTTAGCAAACCAACTTTATCATGGATATTTCTGCCTAGGAGGAGTTCGATTCACTTAGTCCTCTACTAGGTCGCATATCAAAACATTGACTCAAATTTCAACATCCCACCTCGGTAGTCGTGTTCGCAAGCAACCATCGAAGGTGCAGCAGTCACTCTGGAGGAGGTGGTTTCAGTGAATCGGAACAATTCTTAACCAGAATATTCCTAAATGGATGAGCTCCTTTCCCCTAAATCCAACAAGGAGTTGATTAAATGGAGCATTCAACCTCGGAATTGAAAATTTCGAACATTGTCTCACGTGTGTACACTCATGTATCACAACTCCGTGAGGATTCAGAACATCCTACTTAGTGCAGTCCGATCAAAAAATAAGGAAAACCAGTAGAGCTAGGGTGAAATTTGTTATCTGTCAAGGTGTAACGGTGGATACTACTGATGAAGCATGCGAGTAGTGTTTTCTCCTAAATCCGCTTCGCGTCCCTTGAAAAGTGGGATTTATTACGGAATTTGTGGAGTCGCTTTGTAGCGTTTGCTCGCATTGGAGCAACAGTTCATGAATATCCAGGAAAGTTCAGGAAGACGAGTTCAAAGGGAAGATGAATATTTAGTTTTGTAGACAAGATGCATATGAGAGTTTTACTTCCCTGTCCAATAGTCTGTAACTGTTCAGTTAGTGTTTTCTAATAAGCACCTCCGCAGCGAGGGTCTTCTTCCTTCCAAAGGCAGCAATCTGAGCGGCGTCTGTCAGCATAATAATCGATACAACTGCTGAATTAAACAGCGTCGCACACATAGTATAAACCTGTTCGGTTTAACGACTGAAGTCACGTGAGGTTCATTTTTATTTCTGCATGACCAGAAGATTAGATTGAATGGTAATCTGTCGTGCAGATCGCGGGGTTCTGCTGTGATATGCCATTCGGTAGGTACAACTGGTTCCTGCACTGGCAGGAAGTACGCTTGAGATTAACATCGTATCGTATCGTACGATAACTCGTTAGATCTTACTAGCTGAGTCTAGCGTGCATAAAACTCCACCCCATGGTTTCCTGACACTTCAAAATCTGGTCGCGCCTCTGCTGTCTACGTAGGTTTCATATCAGGCTTCGAGGTTGTATGATATTACTTGCTCATGACAGGCACGCAAATACGTTAAGCGTACCTTTGCTTTTTTGTTCCAATACACTAGTTCCGCATGTCTTCGGATTATACCAGCGAATCTGATACCTGTGAATCACGCATTTCAGACCGCCAAAGTGTGGCCAAATCCGTGAATCCAGCAGCCTCGCTCTGATAGAAAAGATCGAAAGCAACATAAATCCAGTGAACCACGGCGTGCTGAGACTTAAAAATCGGATCAAGTGGAATTTCTGCCCGAAGTTGATGATGAACTTGATTATAATAAAGACGAACTCCTCTCTCAAGACCTCAGGAAGCTACTGAGAACCGCATCCCATCGTCAGGTGCTTATTCACATGAATCACGGGTTCTTCGCCCAGGGGGGAAGGCAAGAAGCTTAGTGAGGAAGAATACGATGAACGTCGTGACTTCATAAATGAGTCGAAAGCTGGACGTTCTTCGAAACCATTCGCTTTTCATGAGCTGGAGGAAGAGGGAGCTTCTAGAGTCGATGATCAACGGCAACCATCATCCGGATCCGGTAAAACCGATGGCAAATTACAGTTGACTTCCAGATTGCTATTAGAAGAGGCCCAGTATGGACACCGACTACGTGAACGTCATGAAAAACGACAGCGTAAAAGGTTACACGCTATGGATGGTTTGAAGTAAAGCGAGCCGTCTGCTACTTCCGTGCGTGATATGCAGTGAGTTTTTTCAGCGGCACTCGAAACTCGGCCCCATTTCAGATGCAGATCGAGGCATGTTTCCCCTCTCTCTCTCTCTCTCTCTCTCGGGTTCTGCATCTCCCGAAAACGTACAAACGGACAAGAATTGGTCTTCTAGTCGACTGGATTCCTCGGACAAAGGTCAGCAACAGACCTCCACTGATGTGCACTATGGCGAACATGGCTTGAGGAAATCAAGTCACAAACGGACAGAAAAAAAACGAAAATAACTCCGAATCTCAGATTAAGCCGGACAGTGTACTTTGTTCCTATTCAACTTCTCTGTTACCATACGGAACGGGTGACTGAGGGAGAACTGTATTCTCGTGCTAACCGGTCGTCCAATCCACAGAGTGGAACTGCAAGCCACCGTGAAGTTTACTTGTCACATTCTAGGAAGGCATAGTCGAAAATAGATAGAACGCACCAGTGGACTGATTCCGTGGTTGTGCCCAACACAGCAGACCCACATTCTAAGTACTTGTCGTTTATAAAATGAATTTAATTCGCCAAAATACCCAAGTATTTCAGTGAAGGCAGTAATAACACGAGCAGCAGACTACATATTGAGGGCTCGTTGTTTCAAGAACCCCAGAGCATATATGACTGAAATTATACATCCAGTCACTGAAGAATGTGGCTTGCGCCATGAATACTATCCATTATGATGGGAGCCATTTTCGACAGACTGCACCTTCATAATCCCAACTTCGCGGCTGAAAACAGTCGTGGATACCAGTAGAAAAAGAGAGGATAGCGAATAAAATTAATCAAATGCACTCAACCGCGCACTGAAAATGTCACTTCTATTGTTGATGAAGCGTTTGCAATGTCAAGCGCGGCGAACAGGCCAACAACCGAGCTACCTGGACTTCGCAGCGTCGCCAGCTAGCGAACCTTGTTTCCTGAGGTTGCTCACGTCGGCTGGACATGATTTTTACGAGGTACGCCCAAAACATCCAGCATACCGATTGCCTTTGGACCAATCACTGACAGTACGATTAAGAGTGCTGTCTTTTGCAGAGGCAGTCGGAATTAGTCTATGTAGCCGAGGGACTCCGTTTGAAAGAAACTCGTGCGATCTTTGAGATTGTCCCGTCCTACTTAGTCTTATTGTTACACCATCTATTTTAATCTATGACCTACAGAACAATCTACCCACCCCCTTTCTCCAATTTACATTTATGCCTGCGAATTTGTTTGATCGTACACGTGATTCGTGTCTGGTTCCACTTAATGGTGTGATGTATCAGGCAATCTGAACGACCGAGTTGAATTAAAACCACAGTTCACACTATTGCAATGACATTTCCCTACTGCGAAGTGATTCGTTATCGATCGAATCCCAAAAACACTGGAATACCCGGGTTCTAATCTCCCTGGGACTCTTTAGAGGCTTATTGCTGATGATTCAGTTACAAGGATTGAAGCTTTTTACTGTGCTTCCCGACTTTTCACAATAAAATGGCTACATTTTCAGGAAGGAATTTTGACTGAAACCT